CTGCATCCGCTGCCGCTGGCTCCGGTTCCTCCTCCGACGCCAACTCCCCCAAGTGCCACGGCGCCGCGCCCAGCGCGGCCCTGGCGTACTCGCGGCCCGCCTCTCGCTGCTTATAGCACATCACATTGAACGCCCCCTGGTACGATTGGTGCAGGGCGAGCGCTTCCACGGTCGGCCCAAACACTACGTGCGGCTTCTCGAAATACGTGGTCACGCGGGGCACGCACGTCTCTAGCGAGTGGTGCGCGGGCATCGGGAAAGATCTGTTGGCGACCAACCATTCCGGGCGAAACCCCGTGGGCGCCGAGGCGTCCCGCTGGAAGCGGACCTGTGTCTGCACGCCATCTGGCAAGGTTACCGAGAAGCCCTCGGCGTCGGGAACGTACACCTTCCCGTCGACCGTCTCAGAGGAAGCGGCGTCGTCCTCGCGCGGCCTGGCGGCCCTGGCCCACACGCGGGCGGCCTGGTCGGGGGACGCCGAACCGGCCACCAGCTCGAGCGCCTCTGCCACTTCGGCCACCAGAGGGACCCACTTGTGCCGCAAAGTGCCCGCGGGCATTGCGTACGTGTCTGGCAAGGGGGCGTGCGGCTGCACAGGGCGCCCTGTGCTGATGAGAATCCTCTCTTTCGCGGCAGTGTGGCGCGACCCTGTCTCCCCGCGCTCCATGGGCACGTGCGTCGAGAAGTGTACATTTCCTGAAATTCCCACAGACACTGTAGGCGCGTCCACCCGGCCGTAGGAGCCAGCAGTCTTGGTCGCCCTGGATGCTTGCCCATATTGCGCCAACTTGTTGAACGTATTTTGGAAGGCATTCGCAGTGGTCTGCTTCTTCCCCGCCTTCTGCTCGTCCATGAAGTTGAAACTCGCGAGCATGTCGTATGCCTCGTCAGGGTTTACCAAGACGCCGTACACGTGACGGCCTCGCAGATCCACGCCGGGGAAGTTCTCCGCGTCTGGGACCTGCTGGTAGTCCCCGGCGCAACGGTGGAAGAATTCTGTGGGCGTCGCCGCGTGCAGGACGCAGGACGCAACTTGCGGCTGCCGCGGGGGATCCGCTGCACCACTGGGGTCCGCGGCGTCAGGATTCCGACGACGACGGCCCCCTTCATCACGTGGTGGTGCCCCCTGCATATCTCCTACGACGGACGCTGCTGCCAGGACTTTCTGCGCCACAACATCCCGAGCGACCTGGTCCAGCTTGTCCCCGAAGCTGTCGCCGTTCCCGGTGATGGATGACTTTCTCGTCTGGGCGAAATTCACGTTCAGGACCATCAAGAACATGGGGCTGTGAGCGTGGGGGAACCACGCGCCTTTGGCGCCGTTGCTAAGGGCGCACATCATTGCAAGAAAATGCATGACGTAAGGAAGCACAGGGTGTGCAGCCCTGATGCTGTACGTTTGGATGAGTTCGTACCCGCGCTGCGTGAGCACCTTCGCTGGGTCGAAGAACTTGTCAACGATGTCCCACATTGCTTTGCTCACATTCAAAAGCTTCTTGCCGCTTGAACCGTCCGCCATCTGCCAAGCGAGGCCACGGAAGTTCCCGCGGGTTCTGTTCCGTCAGCTTGAGCACAGCTACACTGAACGGCGCTTGGCCATCGAGCCGAAGGAAAAGGCGCGACGGCGGGAGGACACTGCTGCTGAACGATGGCGGGTGGGACGACAAGGAAGTTGTGGAGTCGTGGAACCAAGAACTCAACGGCGATCGGAGTTCAACCGTCACCTTCGGCCTCTTGGACCGGGGGGGCGCCCGCAGGCGGCACCGACGATCAAGGGATAGTCAGCTACCTCGTCGCCCAACGACTTGCCTCAAACCGAGAGGGCGTGGGGGTAGGGGGAAAATCGGTTCACCTCGCCACTGCGAGATACTTCCCGACCATCAACCCCTGCTCAATCGGCTGGCATGCGCAACTGGGTTTGTTTTCCAGGGTGAGCAGGCGCAAGGCCACCATGGGACTTACGGACCACACGGCCCCGCCTCCCAACCAAGTGCGCTATCCCCCATGCCTGATACCCATCTCCAGGTCACGGGGTGTGGCAAGCGCCGCTGCCGCGGGCAACGTGCCACGTGGTTGGTGCGAAAATCGAGAGCCAGCCTGGCTGCCCCCAGTCGCCGAATGCAGTCGATTCTGACAGTGTGCCCCAAGGAATGTGTGGCGTTGACACCATGAAAACAGGTACCTGGCCCCCACCTTCGGTTGCCCTTTCAGCTGGTGGCCCACGAAGCTGAGTTCGTGGCCTGAACCTGAACCACCTCAGAAGCCCCCGCCGACGCCCGAAATGCGCCAAAAGCGCCCAAACACGCAATCGTGTCACAGGAGCGCGGGGCGCCAGCTCGACCTTCCCACTTGTTTGCGTTGGGTGGGCAATGAAGGCCACTGAGCAGCCTTTGGGCCGCTCCTTCCCCAAGCGGGCGCCTGAGGAAGGTGCGGCCTTTCTCCTACGGGGCGGAACGGCGCAGCCGTTTACATAACTAAACGGAATTGTATATACTCTGCTTTCGTCGAGCCCGAAAACTCGCACCTCCTCCAGCTTCCATGGGAACCCGCCAGACTTCCGCCAAGGACCCAGGGTCGGCTCCCAGAATGCAATTTACAATATACACTAACTTAAATGTGGGCGCGTTACGTTAGAGGGAGGGACATCAAGGAGAAGAGGCCGGCGAGGGGGGGGCTGTGCCCATCCGAGGGAACGGGGCAGCCCCCCCTCCCAAAAAAACGCTTCGGCCCACCAAGGCCTTCCCCGCTCCGCGAATCCCATTGGGGGGTCGGGATCCCCGCTCTGCATGGGATTCGCGGAACGTGGCGCCCCCCCAGGTGCCTCTTATCTTCGCGCTGGCGCCGGCAATGTGCACCCAGGGGGGCGTGGGTTGAAATGAGTGGGGGAGCAGGAAGGATGTGGAGTGGCGTTCCGCTCTGAAGCGTCCTCACAATCCGGCAAAACCGCAACCCCTCCCAGGGGGCACCGCGCGCGCTGGACCAGGCACATGCGGCGCCCTATGTCGGCGCGCACATGTGAAAGGCCCATGTTTGTGTGTCTGTCGGAAAAACGCCGCCCACGTCCCCTTCCCTTGACCGCGCTGCGCGGCTGGAGGGGGGATATCGCGCTCCCCGGCCGGCCCGAGGGCAAGGCCAGCCCGACTTGGCGCAGGCGCGACCGGTACTTGGGATCTCGCCTCGGACGCGGGCGGACACGGCATACGCACGGCTCTCGGCACGGCGCTCGCCACTGCGAAACTTCCCGACCATCAACCCCTGCCCAGTCGGCTGACATGCGCCACTGGGTTTGTTTTCCAGGGTGAGCGGGCGCAAGGCCACCATGGGACTTACGGACCACACGGCCCCGCCTCCCAACCAAGTGCGCAATCCCCCATGCCTGATACCCATCTCCAGGTCACGGGGTGTGGCAAGCGCCGCTGCCGCGGGCAACGTGCCACGTGGTTGGTGCGAAAATCGAGAGCCGGTCTTTGCTCCCAGCACGGCATACGCACGGCTCTCGGCACGGCGCCCAGCACCGCACACAGCACATCACCTGGCACGGCACAGCACGGCAACACCCTGCCACATAACATGGAACCTAAAGCGGCCCCGAACCGCACGCCCATCAGAACCCGAAGGGTGATTCTTCAAGGGAGGCCTTGCCTTGAAGGGCGGGAGCTCTTTCAAAATGGACTTCTCGCTTGAGCTCCCTTTGAGGCTCTCCGGAGGTGTCCCAGGGAGGGGCGCCGTGCGAGGCCGTCTGGGGGCTGAGGGGGCAACTAGAGAAGGCCACAGGATGAGGTTGAGGGCGGCTCCTTTTTCAAAATGTGGTCTTCGATTGAGCTCCCTTTGAAGTCCGCCAGAGGTGTCCCAGGGAGGGGCGCCGTGCGAGGCAGGGCCCGAGGCCTCTGGGGGCTGACGGGGCAACCAGAGAAGGCCACAGGATGAAGTTGAGGCCGGATTCGCCGGATCTCGCTGGCCGGATTCGCCGGATCTCGCCGGAGTCGCCGGATCTCGCCGGAAATTGAACAGGGGGGCGGTGGGCGGGCCCACTCCCTCACGGGTCAGGATGACGTGAGTTCCACAGAAACTCCACCACCTCACCTAACTTGGGAGTCCGGCTGTTGGCTACACAACTGGACAGTCTTCGGCGCGAGGAGAAAATCAATCAGCCGAAGACTTCAGAGGAGGGGGGGACAGAAAGGCACACGAGGAGGACGAGGAGGACGAGGACCAGGCAGATGCTGACCCCTCCTCCAAGCTCAGACCCCCTTCATCCGCGATCTGGCGACATGACAACTCACCACCGCGCCGAGAAGGTGTGGATGAGCCCGCCCTCCTCCTCCTCCTCCTCGTCCTCCTCCTCCTCCTTTTCCTCCTCCTCCCTCCCCTCCCTCCCTCCCACCCTCCCTCCCTCCCTCCCTCCCTCCTTCAGGTGCGCGCGTGCTAATCGATGATGTCCCCCACTTTAATGTCCCGTCCGCCCGCCCGACCCGCCCGACCCCGGACCCCGGACCCCGGACCCCGGACCCAGACCCCGGACCCCGGAACCCGAAACCCCCAGGCCTCACACCCCGGCCCCCGGACCCCCGGACCCCCGACCCCGGACCCCGGACCCCGGACCCCGGATCCCGGACCCCGGACCCCGGACCCCGGACCCCGGCCCCTAGACCCCGGACCCCGGACCCCTGACCCCGGACCCCGGACCCCAGACCCCGGACCCCGGACCCCGGACCCCGGACCCCGGACCCCGGACCCCGGACCCCGGACCCCGGACCCCGGACCCCGGACCCCGGACCCCGGACCCCGGACCCCGGACCCCGGACCCCGGACCCCGGACCCCGGACCCCGGACCCCCCCGGACCCCGGACCCCGGACCCCGGAAGACCCCGGACCCCGGACCCCGGACCCCGGACCCCGGACCCCGGACCCCGGACCCCGGACACGGACCCCGGACCCGGGCAGCCGGAGGACCATAAGTCCATCAAATTCACTGGGCTGACCGCAGGCGGACGTCACCTGCAAGCCAACATTGCAGCCTGACGCGCCTTGGCGCAAACGGCACACATACTGAGGCGCCGACCAATTCCCTTTCTGAACATTCGAACGCCAACAATGAAACTGCTCGGCTGAGATCTCCGGCGAAACTGCAATTCATAGAATAATCGGGCCTACATTAATTCCATGACGCGCCCGCGCCTGGAAGCCCAGAAGCTGCGGCGGGCAACCCAGCCCAGGTCGAAGGGTCGCAGCTCTCCCTGGCTTCCTGTAGCCAGGCGCACAGCTGGTCTTTGAGCATGGCCGTCTCGTTGACGAAGAAGTCGTCGTACCGCAAACTGCCATTCAGGACCGAAGTCTGGAGCTCTGCCTCAGTCATCGACATCCTGATGTGAGCGAAACGGACTTTGATGTCGCCCTTCGTATACGGCTTGCAGCTGGCACGAAAGTGCGTACTGTTCTGGTAACAGTGGGAAGCCCGATGGACCCAATCATGAGCAACACGGCTCGGTTTGGAGATGACCTTCAACGCCTGGCCAGTTGATTTCTGGTGGTATTTCGTCTCCGTGAGCAGGTGGTGCAAAGTGTTGGGTGGCTTTACCCACCATTCTGACTGCAGCTGGAAGGTGTCGTGCAATTCGGAATCGACCAGCCTTTGCAGCTCCACTGCAAGCGACGCTCCAGCGATGTGCCAGCCTGGGTCCTTGCTCCATTGCGGGACGTACAAGAACTCGTCAAAATTCGCAGACCCCTTGGGTACCAGCGTGGGAGATGGCTGCCGCTCCCCAAACTCCTTCCTCCCTGAGATGGGTAAAACGACTTTGTCGATTTTCGGCGGCGAGCCTTCGTAGAGTACAGGACTTCTCAGAAGGCGGCGGGGCCTTTCCCTGGGCTCGCCGCCGAGCTTTGGAGCAAGGGCGGAGGGAAGGGGTACAGGAGTGTCAAACCTGCTCTGGGCATCCAGGATGCTCGAAGAGGACCCCAGGACGTCGCCAGGACAAGCCTGGAGGTCTCCAGGACGACGCAGGTGGCCCCAAGAGGCTGAGAGCCCCCGAGAGGCGCAGGAGAAGCCACAACAAAAACATGAGAAAGGCAACACATTCGAAACTTGCAAGTCCGCGGGCGCCAAGTGGTCCAAGACAGTCAGACGCCCGTCAGCAAGCGGCAAGGGAAAAAGAGGAACATGACATACATACGAAACACAAACACGCATCACTGGCCAAAGGTCGCCACAAGATTGCTTGAGAGGGGTGCCAGAAAAGGCCCGAGCACTTCGCGAGACAGCCCAACGGAGCCCCACGAGAGCCCGAGACAGCCTCCAGAGAGGTCCAAGACGGCCCAAGGCGTCTCAGACGCCCCCCAGGGGAAGAAAGCGCAAGAGGGCACCGACAGGGCCTCAAGACGCCTCGAGGCGGCCCAAGAGGGCCCCGAGACGCCCCCGCAAGGCTCCAGGGCCATCGCTAAACCTTCTCTTCGCTATCGCCCTCTCCGTCTCTCTCACTCTCCCCCCTGCCTCCTCGTGCTGATCCCCCTCCTCTCGGAGCTCCTCGACCTCCCTTCATTTCCTCGCCTGATCGTGTCCATCTCCCCTACCAGCGCCTGCAGGAACCAACCGCGCACAAAAAAAACGATGAAGGGCCAGCGCGTGTGGCGTTGGCCGAATGAATCGATGTCCCTGTAGAGCATCGTCCGGCCTTTGAGCCTGTTCACGCAGTCGTTCTGGTTTCGCTCCTGGTGTATCAGGTGGCGCTCGTGGTCACTGAACACCACCGAGCACAGTCCGCGCGACACAAACGGCGCCAAGAGGCGGAGGGCGAGATCCCGGTTCGGGGGGCTGAGATACACGATCACCTGGTTGACTCCGTGGCGCAGATGATACAGTATGTGCTGCGCCATGCCGTAGAACCCGTTCGCCTCAGGCTTCTTCGGATTGAGGTACGGCGGCGCGCAGTAGCACAGCGTTATGTTGTTCGGCCTCTGCGGCGACGGCAAGCGGGACGGTCGGTGGCAGCTGGTGAGATTCGCAACGTCGGGGCCCGTGCTGCTGTTGACCCGCAGCCCGAAGCGGAGGCACGCCCAGTCGTCCTGCCCCTCGGTCCAGGCAGCGTGCTCGGCTTCGGGCATGTCCGCGTGCCACGACGGTCTGGAGGTCGGCAAGGAGTGTGGCACAAAAGGGGTATGGTGCCAATTCGTGGAAACGGCGATGCTATCTGCGATAAGCAACATCGCCAGAGTCCCCTCGCAATGAAATCAACACCACGCCCCTTTATAACATGCCCCTTTCCTACCTCGAGAGAAAGCTGATTCGGACCGCGTATCTTCCGGACAGGGCTGGTCGCGCCCGAGGCGAAAACGACCCAGTGGCGCCACTTGTTGGGGTTCTTATGCGCCCAATGCGTCAGCGGCTCCAGGATAAGCACTATCCCTGGGCCCTGCTCGCGATAGCGCTTGGCAACTGGCACGGCGGACCACACGCGCAAGCCGCATTTGTTTTCTCCATGTTGTACGTCGCCGATGCCGCTCTCTCCGATCGTAGCCAACAAGCCCACCCTTGCGACGGCGGCGCTCCTCTCCGCGAGCAGCTCCTCCCGCGCCCTCGAGCCCGCGCCCTGCTCTGGCGCACCCTCGGGGCCCACGACGCTGGCAAACCCCTCCGATCGGGGTGGACCCTCCTCAGGGAGCCTCTCCCGCGCCGACGCGGTCGCGCTCTCTTCCGGCACCGTCTCGGGCCCAACGCTGTCGGCAGCCCTCTCATGCCAATGCTGATGAGGTGGGCGCCCTGCCGCCGAGCCCGCGCCTCCTGCCTGCGCCGCCTCTGGCCCCGCAGCGCCGGCCGCCCTCCCGGGCCGAGGCGGCCGCTCCGCGGGCGGGCCCGCAGCGGGTGGCTGCCCCAGGAGGCCAGCCAACCGCTGCGAGTTCAGGAGCGCGAGGGGCAGCAGGCTCACCACCGTGGCCGTCATGACGGCCATCCGCACCACGGGGCGCATGGCGCCGCGCCGGGCGGGCTGCGAGGCACGGGCTGGACGGCGAGCGCAGGCCAATGGGCACGCCTCGACCCGAGCGGCCTTGAGCCAAAATGGCTACGGAAGCAGGCGTGGCACTTTCTGGACACCACAAGGGCGTGCGCAAGGGGTGGTCTCTCAATCCACGACACCGCCGCAAAGCCTGGCAGGCGTGGCATTTTCTGGACGCCACAAGGGGGTGCGCTGGGGGTGCGGTTGGTATCCATTTCAGGCTCGCAACGTGTGGCAGGCGTGGCACTCTCTGGACGACACAGGGGGTGCGTTGGGGGTGCGGTCGCTACCCGTTTCGGCCGCGCAAAGCGTGGCAAGCGTGACACTTCCTCGACGCCACAAGGGGGTGCGCTGGGGGTACGGTCGCTATCCGTTTCGGGCTCGCAACGCGTGGCAGGCGCGGTCTTTTCTCGATGCCACAGGGGGTGCGCCGGGGGTGCGGTCGCTATCCGTTTCGGCCTCGCAAAGCGTTGGCAGGCGTGGCACTTTCTCGACGCCACAGGGGGTGCGCTGGGGGTGCGGTCGCTATCCGTTCCGGGCTCGCAAAGCGTTGCAGGCGTGGCAACTTCTCGACGCCGAAAGGAGTGCGCTGGGGGTGCGGTCGCTATCCGCTTCGGGCTCGCAAAGCGTGGCAGGCGTGACACTTCCTCGACGCCACAAGCGGGTGCGCTGGGGGTACGGTCGCTATCCGTTTCGGGCTCGCAACGCGTGGCAGGCGCGGTACTTTCTCGATGCCACAGGGGGTGCGCCAGGGGTGCGGTCGCTATCCGTTTCGGCTTCGCAAAGCGTGGCAGGCGTGGCACTTTCTCGACGCCACAAGGGGGTGCCTTGGGGGTGCGGTCGCTATCTGTTTCGGGCTCGCAACGCGTGGATGGCGCGGCGCTTCTCCTCTCCACCTCTCCTCTTGAGTGGCGTCACCAACGGTATCGGCGGGGCAACGGCCACCATGCTTCACTTCAGCTATCATCAATAATATAAGTATGTGGGGTTCCTCGGTCGCGTATTTTTTCTGTGATTTTTCCGGCGGGCTCCCAGGAACGATCGGGCACAACCCTCCAAATCGCAATTCGGGCTAAACCCCTTGGAACCCACCGCTGGGAGGTTTTAATGTTTGTTTGCTCTGTGTTTTTTCTGGGTTTCAAGTGGTTTGCCAGGGGGGGAACTCAAGGAGCGCTCAATAAGGCCTTCTGTAAGGAGCTCAATAAGGCCTTCTGTAAGGAGCTCAATAGGGCCTTTTGTAAGGAGCTCAATAAAGCCTTCTACAAGAAGCTCAGTAAGGCCTTCTGTAAGGAGCTCAATAAGGCCTTCTGTAAGGAGCTCAGTAAGGCCTTCTGCAAGGAGCTCAATAAGGTTTTCTGCAAGGAGCTCAGTAAGGCCTTCTGGAAGGAGCCCAAAATGGCTCCAGATGGGTTTTCCCCCCGGAACGGTTCCAGGGTGATTCTGGAACCTGAAACGGTCAGTGTCAAGCTTCCAGAATCACCCCTAAACGGTTCCAGGTGATTCCAGAACCTGAAGCGGTGGATTTTGGGAGGAGGAGGAGGAGGAGGAGGAGGAGGAGGAGGAGGATGAGGAGGAGTGGGGGAGCAGCGAAAGGAAGCGAGTAGGAGCAGCCAAGTCTGGAGGCCTCCGGTTTTGACGAAATGGGAGGGAGAGGGCGGGGACAAAACCTTGCCGAAAATCTATGTGATATGGCCTCCCTGGGCCTTCTTGAGAATATTCTCAAGAAGCTCTGGCTGGCGCCCCTGGGACCCACGGCGGCCCCGAGGATGGCGGGAACCATGATTTTGGAGAGATCCAGGCCGGACAAGCCCGAAATCGTGGTTCCCAGCTCTGGCTGGCGCCCCTGGGGCCCACGGCGGCCCCGAGGATGGCGGGAACCATGATTTTGGAGAGATCCAGGCCGGAAAAGCCCGAAATCGTGGTTCCCAGCTCTGGCTGGCGCCCCTGGGCCCACGGCGGCCCCGAGGATGGCGGGAACCATGATTTTGGAGAGATCCAGGCCGGAAAAGCCCGAAATCGTGGTTCCCAGCTCTGGCTGGCGCCCCTGGGCCCACGGCGGCCCCTGGCGGGGTGGTTCCCACGGCGGCCCCGAGGATGGCGGGAACCACGATTTTGGAGAGATCCAGGCCGGAAAAGCCCGAAATCGTGGTTCCCAGGCCGGAAAAGCCCGAAATCGTGGTTCCCAGCTCTGGCTGGCGCCCCTGGGACCCACGGCGGCCCCGAGGATGGCGGGAACCACGATTTTGGAGAGATCCAGGCCGGAAAAGCCCGAAATCGTGGTTCCCAGCTCTGGCTGGCGCCCCTGGGACCCACGGCGGCCCCGAGGATGGCGGGAACCACGATTTTTTTGGATTTTGGAGATCCAGGCCGGAAAAGCCCGAAATCGTGGTTCCCAGCTCTGGCTGGCGCCCCTGGGGCCCACGGCGGCCCCGAGGATGGCGGGAACCATGATTTTGGAGAGATCCAGGCCGGAAAAGCCCGAAATCGTGGTTCCCAGCTCTGGCTGGCGCCCCTGGGACCCACGGCGGCCCCGAGGATGGCGGGAACCATGATTTTGGAGAGATCCAGGCCGGAAAAGCCCGAAATCGTGGTTCCCAGCTCTGGCTGGCGCCCCTGGGCCCACGGCGGCCCCGAGGATGGCGGGAACCGGCCCCGTGGTTCCCAGCTCTGGCTGGCGCCCCGGGCCCACGGCGGCCCCGAGGATGGCGGGAACCATGATTTTGGAGAGATCCAGGCCGGAAAAGCCCGAAATCGTGGTTCCCAGCTCTGGCTGGCGCCCCTGGGACCCACGGCGGCCCCGAGGATGGCGGGAACCATGATTTTGGAGAGATCCAGGCCGGAAAAGCCCGAAATCGTGGTTCCCAGCTCTGGCTGGCGCCCCTGGGACCCACGGCGGCCCCGAGGATGGCGGGAACCATGATTTTGGAGATATCCAGGCCGATTTTGGAGAGATCCAGGCCGGAAAAGTCCGAAATCGTGCCCAGAGGTTCCTCGCACTCAGATTCTGAGTGCGTGGATTATATTGTCAAATGAGCTTGATAGCAAAACCTGCGTTTGATAACAAGTTGTACGCGCATAGGGGGGCGGGTTGTACATCAGGAACAACTGAACGAAAGTTAGAACCTGGGGGAAACGTGAACATGGAGAGGAGGAGGAGGTCGAAAAACAGGCCGTAAAAGTCGAACATCGGGACGAAGTCGCTCGGATGCCCTAGGCTCTCTTCAACACCTCGCAATCCTCTGCCATCTGCGCCATGGCAACGAGCCCCATGCGGCAGACGGCCACCTGGAGCTCCGCTCTGCGGGCCGCGGACGCGTGAGCCGGGAAAGTGATCCATCCCGTCTTCAGCGTCGCCCGCGGCTGGCGTGCCCACCAGCCAGGTGGGATGTGGTACGCGTCGTTCAGCTCCTGCCGGAAACCCGCCAGGGCGGCGCACTCGGCCACGTAGTGGCGCGCACTCGGTCGATGGGGACCCCCGCAGGACGGGCAGGCCGCCGTGAGATCGGGCCTGGTGGTGCTCCATCTTCTCGTCGGGCTGTGTGTCGCTCCGCAGCGAAAGATCTTCAAGTGGATCCTGTCCTCCAGGGTCAGCGAGTCCCGGAAAGTGGACCACGCTCGTGCCGAGGAGGCTTCAAGGTCGATTTGGTCGACCCCCTCCGAGTCGTGGCGAGACGCGGATGCGTGGGCAAGAGCTCTCGCCCGGCATACTTGGCGAAGGAGGTGCGGCACCATCTCTTCGTCGCTCCAGAAGATGTGTCTGCGCCCGCACAATCGGCGAACTCGGACATCAGGCTCGTCCACCGAGCGTCGGAACTGCACTCCGCGCTCTGGGTCGTACTGCAGGAACTCGAAACCTATGGCATCGAAGAACGACGTGAAATTCACCTCGAGGAATGTACTCCAGCGGAGGTCCCAGGTGGTGATGCGATCGATGGCCGTGAGCACCGCGCTGAAGATGGGGTGCAGGTCGATATTCGAGGCCCAGAAACGACCTCGGCACCACCAAGTGCACCTCGTCGAAAGCACCGCTGACATCGCTGCTGGGACGACGTCGGGTGGTGGCAGGGAGAAAACCGGGGAACACCAAGTCCACAACGGTTTAGCGTAGGCCCGGACCGCCGTGGCCCTGGCTTCGCTGCCTCCCGGGAGGCCTCGGATGGCGTGCAAGCACTTGCGGAGCTTGGTCCAGCCCCCGGCAGGCGTAATCGGCTCATCCGGAGCATCAGGGACAGCGAGGATGCCGATGTGCTCGATCTGCGTCCTGTCCCCTCGCTTCCAGACCTGGCGCTTCCCGACGTTCTCGATAGCGCCCGTGCCTGAGTCGAAGGCGTTGGTGGCCTGCACGTCCGACTCCATCTGCGGGACGGAGTCGAAGACGGCGGACCTGTCGTCCATGAAAAGGAACTTGGTGCCGTTGATCTCCCAGGGGGAAAGTACGTGGCACAAGACCTTCGGCGCCGTGCTGTCCCCTTGAGCGAGGCTGCGCGTAGGCCAGAGTGTCTCACCGGCCAGCTCTCCCGCCACCTGGCACCTCCGAGGGCCCCGCCAGGCAGCGTTAGTCACCGCCCGCACTCGGCGTGGCGTCTGGGCGTTGCGGAGCGCCGCGTCTGCCACCGCATGCGGCACGTTGTCGTAGCACTTGGACAGGTCACGCTCCAGTCCGCACGAGCCGTGCTGGCAGGCGTGCAGCCACAAGCAGCAGGCGTGGACCACCGTGGAGCCCGCTTTGCAGGCGAACTGAGCGTCCTGTGGCGTGGGCAGGCTGGGCTCGCAAGCTGTGAGCCAGGCCCTGAGGAGCACGGAGCCCACCCCTATAGGCCGGGACTGCGTCGGGTCTTTCTTTGGCACCCCAACAACCCGCCAGGCGAAGAGGAGGTGCTGGAGCTCGGTGGTGGGCCTCTCGACCAGGAGGGTCTCGCAGGTGTCCCGCCATAGCGTGTAGAGTTCGAAAAGCAAGAACTCGAAATGCTCGGAGATCAGCTTGAGCTCGCTGGAGTGCCAACCGTCATAGCCTGCGCTGCCTTTGGCCTTGCGCACGGCGACCCGGAAGTCGGCGTAAGAGGGGCACCACTCCTCGTCGTAGGCGTTGGCGGTCTTCGGCAAGGGCTCGTGCGCCTCCGCGGCGTACTGCTCCCACCTGGCCGCGCACCTCTGCTCGTCGTAGTTGGGGTCTGACGGGACCCACACTCGCTTCCACTCCTCCGTCATGTCCTCGGCATTGAAACTGGGACACTCGGAGGGCCCATGAACCTCTGCAGTGGCTGCCCTCCACGTGTCCGTCGTGAAGTGCTGGAAGAGGCGGCGCCACTCGGAGCGGCGATCTCTGAGCAGGTCCCGCTGGATCGCGGAGATGGCCTTCGAGATCTTGCCGTGTGCCTCTGCGTGCGTCGGCCGGCCTTTCGGGCCAGCTGTCAACCGGCCCCGGAGGGCCGAGTCCACGTACTGGCGCAGAAGAGGGCCAGCGATGAGCTCGTCTGCATGGTCGCGGAGCTGGTGGGCAACGCGGCGACCAAGGCGTTTCAGGCGTACCAGCTCCATCGGCTCGGCGGGCCGCACCGCCGGAGTCGTGGCCACCCTGCGCGAGGTAGGGAGGGATCCCTTGGGGCGTTCAGCGGCCCCGTCTTGTAATACTCACCCCTGGTGGGCAGCTGCCGTCAGTGCCCCCTCGGCCCGGGCGTGCCATCGCTCCCACCTCTCCGGGAGAGGGGCGGCGGCTGGGCAGGCCGGCAGGGTGGCATCCATGTGGCTCTGCAGCTCCTCGGTGTCGCTCGCCAGCAGGAGGGTGCCCGGGTCGAGCGTGAACCGTGTAGTGCGGCGCATTCGCGTAGCTTGCGCCGACGGGGCGGCGACCTGCGCAGAGAAGATCACCAGCCCGTGATGAGGAATGAGCGGGAGGAAGGCGACGCTCTCAAGCCTCAGCTCGATGCCGGCCCCCACGGCTCGCGTAGGAGAGGTCCCTGCTAGGGTCGTAGGCGTAGTTGCGGCACACAGGACGGCGTGCGTCGGCAGCGCGTTGACGTAAGAGGGGCGCCAGTTCAGGTCGCCAGCGATGCACCACGGCACCGGCGGAGTACCACGAGCCACGGTAGATGTGAAATTGACGACTTCCTCCATCCAGGGGTCGGAGCGCACTGCAGCGGGCCCATACCCAGATGTAAAAACTCCCAGCTTGGTACGAATAGCAACTTCACGATGGGAAGCGGCTCGATGAACAGCAACACGCCCAAGAGAAGGGCGCCAGAAAATGGCAGTGCCGCCCTGCTGAACGGCACGCTTGGCGTTCCTGGGTGGAGGCGTGGAGCACACCACGCGCCAACCATACTTGAGCGCGAGCCTGGTGACCCACGCGGGCTTGGCGGAGGCTAGCCGGACCTCCTGAAGACATAAAACATGTGCGTGACGAAGTGCAGGAAACGTAAAGATCTCCTCCAAGCGGTCCGCCCGGAGGCTCGTGACGTTGAGGGTGGCAACCTGCAGCTCCGTCATCCCCTTCTCGCCCCCCCCGCCGTACAGGGGGTCTACGGCGGGTGGGCACCTTCAGCGAGCCGCGGCGGGCCGCTTCTTGGCGATCTTCGCCGTGCGGCGCTCCTGGCTCAGGCGCTTCTGGTCGGCGCGGTACCTCGCGAAGCGGATCTTGTCCTTCAGCCGCTTCGTCTTCCGCTGCTCGGGGTCGGCGTAGCGAATCTTGTAGAGCTCCTTCCGCCTGGTAGCGTAGGTCTTGGCAAACCGCTTGCGGCTTGCACTCTCCGCCTGGTGGGCCCTGTTGGCGGCCTCCTCCCCGCGCATCGCCGTGAGCATGGAGAGGCGCGTCATGGTGGCAGGCCGGGCCCTGCATGGGTAGTACCTGAACTGAGTCAGGTGGGTACTTTTGCTGCATGTAGAACACGTGTAGTGGTGCTGGATGCCCCCGCCCTTGAGGACCTTGGAGGACACCGTACGCTCATCGGGGCTGCACACACCCGGCTGGACGCTCGCCGGCAAGGCCGCCTTCCATTTCAAGTGTGCTGCAAAAAGCTTCGCGCGGCGGGCCTCGCGAAAGGCAGGCCGGGCCCAGAAGCTTGCTTGAATGGCGCGGCGGCTGACGCTGCCGGGCTGGTCTTTCAGCCTGGGGGGGGCGGCACCCTGGCACTCCCGCCAGTGGACGGTGGCCTTGTTGTACTGCCAGGCTGAGGCTTGGCTCCCCGAGAGGTGGGCAGGGGGGGCGGGTGGCGCCCACTGGCCGCAGGGGCACTTGAGATAGTCGCCTTTGGCGTAGGCAACTGGCGTCTCATCGTCTGGGTCGTCGGCGGGGATGCCGAGGATGCTTCGGGCTCCCCTGGAGGAGGCAGCCGCGGGGCGGCGCGCAGGGGCACGGCTGGCGGCTGCCGTGCTTGGAGGGGCGGGAATGCCCAGGATGGACATGGCCTCGGGGTCGAGACGCGGCGCCGGCGGGCGGCTTGAGGCGGCCCTGCTGGATGGGGCCGGAATGCCCAGGATGGACGCGGCGTCGGGATCGAGCGAGCGGCCCTTTCCCTGCAGGCCGCTGGTCGGGTAACCCAGGGCCTTCTCGCGCCAGCAGTCGAGGGTCTGGCGGTACTCGGTCGTCTCCTGCTGGTCCGGCTTCGGCTGGAGCCACTCGTAGTGGTGGTCCTCCAACTTCAACCACAGCTCTTTCTTCCGTAGCTTCCCTCCGCGCTCCCGGCCGTAGAGCACCCACTGCTCCGCGCCCGGTGCACGGGACCACACGTAGATGTCGACGTTCAGCCGCTTTGCGAGCAGCCGGACGGCCAGGGAGGAGGCAGGCGTTCCTGTAGTGCCGATCTTGTCGGCGTCCGCCGTGGTCGCCTTGAACGTCTTCTTGAGGGCCTCCTCCTGCGCAGCGAGGCGGAGATTGCCCTGGAGCCGGCCGCCGGGCTCGAAGTCGTCGGCGGTCGGGATGCTCTTGGACGGCGTGATGGCGGCCAGGCCCTTTGCGACGGCGATGTACATGCAGTCCCCACCGCCGCCACAGGCTCGGACGTTGAACAACTTCGTGAAAGGCGGGGCGGACGGGCCAGCCGGGACTGGCTTGCCGTTCTCGCCCTTGGCGTGCTTGTTCGGGGGCGCCGCCTCGTGCGGGGCGGCTCCAGCTTTGCGAGCTCCGCCCGCAGGGTCGCCGTCGGCGGCGGCGGCGGCGGCAGCGGCGCCCGAGGGGGCGTCCGCGGGGGCGGCGGCCCTCTCCTCGGCAGGCGGGGGGGCGACAGCGGCGTCGTACTGGGGCGAAGCCTTGGGAGCTCCCCAGCGTTGGCGGGCCTCCTTGCTGGTCGCCTGGCGGGCGGCCTTGGCGGGGGCGCCGTTCTTCGAGAAAGCCCGAGACACGACGGCTCCGGACTTGAAGGTGTGGACTGTGGCTACGACGCCCGCCGGCGTGTCCCCGAAGAAGGTCCACGCACGGGCGCCTGCTCTGGCTGCGTTGGCGACGTTCTGGAAGCCGCGCTCCGTGGCCCAGGTGGTGAATTCTTGGGCAGTGACCATGTGTGCGGGTGCATTCCGCACATGCCATTTGATGGCATCAGCCTCTCCAGGATGTACCCCAGCGGCGCCAGCGACTCCCAGTTGGGCTTTTCCGTGAGGGCGGTACAACATGTGGCCCTGCCGCTGCTGGGCAAGCTGGTAGACCCGGTCGTAGTACTTGCGGGTGCCTTCCTCGTCCTCCTCGTCGGCCCTCCGGGAGAGCCATCGCGGGGCGATGGGGGCGTCCTGCTGCATGATGAAGGCACCTCTCGGTGGGACTGCTGTCCGGAAATCGGCAGCGTTGGCCTCGGTCGTCGAGACGATGCATGTGACCTCCGCGTCGTAGGCGATGGCACCTCGGGTACGCAGCACGCGCTCCGCGAGGACGTCCCCGAGGACAAGGGCGGGGGTGGTCTGCGGCTCCGCAGAGGCGACGTGGAAGAGGGTCTCGTCGGCGAACTCCGCGGAGATCGTGATCCGAAAATTGACCAGCTTCAGCTTGGTGGCTGGGACGGGCTCGTCGTCCTTCATAGCCGCGTGGAGCCCAGCACACTTCGGCGCGGACTCGCTGAGGTAGGTGATGTTGGCCTTGGCGGAGCGGGGGCCGCGCTGGCCCTCGAGGAGGACCGAGTCGGGGCCGTTGCTGTCCAAGACGACGTAGGTGATGTTCTGGCGGTTCCCGAGGGCCTTCCTCGCGCGCTCGCACTGCTCGTACTCCGCGCGGGTGGCCGCCAGGATCACCATGGGCTCGGTGGACTGCTCCAGGGAGGCCCGGACCGCGCTGGAAGTGACGATCTTGGCCTGTCCCCAGGGGTCCTGAAAGAGACGCGCCCTGACCTGGGGCGGCTCTTTCTCTTGGGGAGCCTCGGGCGCGTCCCGCGCCGAGGGCGATGCTCCCGGAGTGAAGGTCGAGATGACCTCCCGAAGCTTGGAGATGACCTGGGTCTGCGTGACGTTCATGCCGCCGTCCACGACGGACAGCAGGGAGCGCAGCTTGGCGACGATCGGGATGTCCTCCCTCTGCCGCCTCTGACGCCTAGGGCGCGTGGTGGTGGGCTTTGAAGGCCGCGCCTCGGCACGGCCAGCCTTCGGCGTGGTGCGGGTGCCCATCTGAGCACGCTGCAGCTCAGCGACGGCCGTCGCGAGGGCGATGAGCTGGTCCTGAATCTGGGACTCGGCCCGGACCCGCTGCGAGGTCCTGCTGCCGCCTTTGCCGCCCCCTCCATAGAGCGGGTCCCAAGAGTCATTCGTGTCGAAATCCTCGTACCCGGCCGAGCCCATGGACGGGGAGAGGTTCGTGTCTAAGAACTCGAGCGAATCGAGCGTGAAACTGGACTCGTACTCGGTCAAAACAAAGGCCGACTGGTGCGTCGCCGGCTCCCCAGAGTAAGAATCGATGCATCCAAAACTGCGTAGGTTGAAACCCTCGTTCTCGTCAAGGCCCAGGGACGAGAGGAGGTCCCCCAAAATCTCGATCGGCTCGAGCGTGAAACTGAACTCGTACACGTTCGCATCGGCGGCCAAGCGGTACCCCGGACCCCACGGATAACACTCGAAAAGCTCGTCCGATGACATCCCCATAGAAGAAACAACGCCGTTCTCCCCCTCGATCGTCGCCACTCGGGCGCGTTTGCAGCATGGGGTCGGGTCGGCAGTACGTCGGCTGCTGGCCCGAACCCGTTCGCGGTGCCACCTGGCCCAGCGGAACCGGACCAAGGACACCCCCGCCACCGCCAAGACCACCGGGAAGTAGTCAGGGGGCCGCTGCGTGGTGGCGTTGTACGCGCATAAACTGTTTTCTGCTATTCATGTATAAACATATAGTGGCACAGAAAACTATACGATAACACACATAACTCACCTGTGGCGCAACCGCGAGCGCCTATGGCGCCACGGGCGAGTTGCGTTTGGTGCGGGAGTCAAAATGACAACGGAGAGGGAGAGGATCAGGAGGAGAAGGAAGACGAGGATGAGGAGGAGGAGAAGGAATATCGTAGCATAGCATAACACAGGGCATCATAGCAAAGCCGCTGGACTGCATAGCTTGCACCACGCATATTGCACTGCATTGCGCATGACATAATTCCGTTGCTTGGAGTCCAAACTGGCTACAAAGCGAAACTCTGTTTGGGGTCCAAGCTGCAGCCATTTTGGCTCAGGCCCGACGCCATACCTGACGCCCTGCGTCGACGCCCTACTTCGACGCCCTACCCGACGCCCTACCCGACGATGTCGCACACGCCGCCCTGCCCGCCCCCAGGCGTCACCCGCAGCCGGTCGCCGCGCGGGCATGAGGCGGCCATCGCGGAGCAGGCGACCAGCGCGGATCGGGCGGCCAGCGCGGATCAGGCGGCCAGCGCGGATCAGGCGGCCAACGCGGAGCAGGTCACAGTGCCGACAGCATCGCTGAGGCACTGGATGCGCCTCCCAGACAGCCCGATGCAGGCGCTCATGGCGGCGCTGGACGTGTGCAAGGTGGCCGACGTGAAGATGGCGGAGGCGACAGATGCCCTGACGAAAGCCGTCAACGCCAACAATCAGCGGACGAATAGCCTGGATGCCCTGACGAAGGCCATGGAGGAGAACGAGAAACTGTCAGAAACCATATGCGAGCTGACAGTCCGAGTCGAGTTGCTCGAGATGAAGATCGCGTCTCTCGAGGCCCGAATCCCGAAGGACGACGGTAAGGGCGACGACCAGGGCGGCGACGCCGACTCCAAGGGCGGCAAGGGCGGCGGCGCGCCGAAGGACAACTGCTCAAAGAAGACTGGCGACGACTACGCCAAGGGCGGCAGCGGCGACGGCGCGCCGAAGGACGACAACTCCAAGAAGGACGACAGCTCCAAGAGCGGTAGTGGCGGCGACGCGTACGGCTTGGACTCCGACGAGGCCTCGATCTCCACCTTGAAGCAGCGCTTCCTCGCCTTGCCCTGGCGTCGCCGCGATGACAGTGGACGACTCCTGGGCGACGAGAGCACCTACGAGGGCAAGGGCGAGGGCAAGGACGGCAACACCTACGAGGGCAAGGACGGCAACACCTACGATGGCAAGGACGGCATCACCTACGATGGCAAGGACGGCGTCACCAACGAAGGCAAGGACGGCATCACCTACGATGGCCATGACGGCGTCATCTCGGAGGTCAGCGACGGCGCCGAGCAGCAGGACGACATCCCCTACGACCCCGACAGGTACCTGATCAGCAGCATCAAGAGCGGGCACGACTACTTCGATCGCGAGGCGAAGGCGGCTGATGAGTTGCTGAAGCAGACGTTCGCAACACGCGCGTAGTGCAAGCTCAGATCATTCCTTTCGGTTGACTGGGCTGCGTGGGCTGCGGGTGGCCCGTATTTCGCAACTAGGCCGAGCGCCTACACCAGCGCCGACGTCATCACCGACTGAGCGCCTACACCAGCAACAGCGCCAGGAAAAAAATTGTGAAAGGGGTGGTCTTCGTCGTCGTTGTCGTCGCCGCCGCCGTCGCCGTCGTCGTCGTCGTCGCCGCCGCAGCCGTCATCGCCCTAGTCACCGTCGTCGTCGTCGGCGGCGGCGGCACGAGACCTGTGCCGCCATTCAGCCATGCTATGCTCGGATGTTCGGTATCGCTGTGCGTTTCGATGCCATGCTATGCTATGATATGTTATGCGGCATGTAAGCTATGCTATGCTTTGCTGCGCTATTCAACGATCGATCCATTCGACGCCCCGTTCGACGCGTCGATGCTGCATCTAAGTCCGCATGCTCCGATGCTCGTGCTCACGACGGGCGGGGCTCTCTCTCTCTCTCTCTCTCTCTATCTCTATCTCTATCTCTATCTCTCTCTATATATCCTCCCCCTTCCCGCCCTAGCGTCCTCCCCTCCCTTCTCCCTCCCTTGCCCCATCCCTCGTTCCTTCCCTCCCCATTCCCTCTACCCCCACTGTCCCCTCCTGGCGTCTCTGGGCGGAGGTGGAGCCGGAGAGGGGGTAGTGTTCTCGCGGTCGGCTCGGCTGACGGTTGCCGAGGAGCACTGTTCTGTTCTTGCGGCGTCAGCGTGCGTGGATCTTTCGACCCATTGTCGCCATCTCGCTCATCTGTCTCATCCTCCTCCTCCTCATCATCATCCCTTCGCTTCTCCTCCTCTCCCTCCCACTGTTGCTGCGAGAGGCGAGCATGGGCCATATGCACATGCACATATCCCCTCTGGCAGGGGAGGCGCTCCCGAAGGCGCAAAGGCTGCACCTGCCGAAAGGCAAGTCGCCAAAACCAGAAGAAAAAACGCACACGCACGCAACTTGCTCACACATCGAATACCGAATTAGGCGGGGCCGTCGAGGTCAGACCCCGACGAAAGGATATCCCAGCTGCTGTCACGGTGATTCACGAAGTCGCACTTGCGGTCGGCAGAGGTTGAGCCGCCCTCCAGGTTGAGACGCGCGATGTAGTTCGTCTTGGGCTGCACGACCTCAGAGTTCGGGCAGAATGGGCGATCTGCCAAGTAGTCTCCCTCGCTGCCCTTCCAGAGCTTCACGTCGCGGACCTTGTCGCGAGTTGGTTCGAACCCGAGCTTGCCAGGGAGCATCTGCTTCAGGAAGCGCACTGGGGTAGGCAGCTTATCGCCATAGGCACCATGCACAAACCTGCACAGCTTGATGACCTGGTGCTTGGAGCCGCGCCTGAGGTCCATCACGTGGACGGCCACGTTGAACGACTCCGAAGTGTCAGCGCCGGCGTCGTCGTTCTCGTCGTCTAAGCTGTCGGAGCTGAGGTCCTTGGTATGATTCTTCTGGAACTCGGCGATCTCCTCTGGCGCCTTAATGGTCACGTAGAGGTAGTCGTTGTACACGCAGTAGCGGTCGCCGTAGAGGCCGCCCCTGGGAAGTGCAGGTTTACCATCCTTCTGGCCCTGCGCGTGGTAGATGCCGGTGGTTTGGTTGCGATAGATCGTCATTGTCTCCTCGATCCTGTGCTTGATCTCCTTGGTCTCGCACGCGTTCTCGAAGTCGGTGTTCGTGCCCTTCTGCGCCCAGAATGTGTGCCAGGAGCCCTCCTTGTCGCCCAGCTTCAACTCAGCAAAGTAGGCTGTCACTTCCTTCATCTGGTGGATCTGCGAATCGCTGACCAGGGCAATAGCCATCTCCTTCGCTGCACGGGCCAACAAGCGATGACTCGAAAAAATGAGCCTAAACAGCCACGCGGGCCAGCTTGCTCGAAAGCTCGTTTGGATAAGATAACTGCGTCGATTGGTTTCTCCTCCTCATCCTCCCCCCCCTATTATCCTGCTCCTCGCCCTCCCCCATCCTCCCCCCGCCTCTGCATCCTGCTGATTGTCGCATTTCCCGCCCCTCTCGTTCCGGCTCAACTCGCTGGCGCGACTGTCGAGAGCTCGGCTCGGCTCGCTGGCGGACTCTCAGCCCCGTCGAGCGCGTGGGTTCTTCTGCGCGCCATCGAGGGAGAGGGAAGTCGACCTCGCGCGCGGCGGACGTCGCTGTCGACCTCCCCTCGAAGCGGGAAGGCGAGTGCGACGACCCCCGCGCGGGAGATCAACCTCCATCTGCCCTCGCGCATGGCAGCGATGGCGCGGCGGCAGCCGTGCATGCGCGGGAGCCGAGGCTCCTTGCCCCAATTTGATGCGAGGGAGGTGGGATGAGGAGACGGTGTAGGGGGAGCGGGAGATGGGGAATGGAAGGGGTAAGCGGGGGAGGGAGAGAGGGAGGGGGGGGGGGGCGCGGTGAATGGAGACAGGACGAAGCGGGTAGCATATTAGATTGACGCGCGCATCGCCGATGCATCTGCGACGCTTCCCAGCGCCAGTTCGATTTGTCGCGCGCGCACGGTTGATGCATCGCCGATGCTGTCGGGGAAGCCACCAGTCCCCCCAGGCCCGCGGTCGACACGCTCTTTCTCAGCGACGCGTGAGGTCGGGCGGATGCAGCGCATGTTTGCACACGGGCTGCAGGTTGAAACCAACAGGGCGCCCAGCGCCATTTCCGCAAATTGTGCAGCAGCTAGCAGTGGTACTTCCCATGCCCCCCATATCATGCCGCACCGTCTGCCCCGTCCCCGATCAGTTCAGCGCGCACTCGCCCGATCGATTCGACGTCCGTTCGACGCGTCGATTCTGCGCCTAAGTCGACGCGGTTCGATGCTCGTCCCCCGCCCCCTCTTGCATCCGGCTTCCCTGCTGGTCACGACCACCCCTTCTTCGGAAGATAGCGCGGCGCCGTGCGCTGTCAAACTAGCGCGATTGGCACCGTGGCGACCACGCAAAGATGGGCAGCACGCAATCCAACATCTAAGCCACTGATGACGCAGCCTTTGAAGCATCCGACACACGACTAAGTAAAGCGAGGGCCATCGCGTGGCAAAACTCAAGGGGGTATTGCTCGCTCGGGCCCTGGCGGCTCTTCTTCCCACCGATCCACTTATCGGCTTTCCAGCCCTTGCTGCTGCCGTCGGCGCGCTTCGACACAGTGCGGCGATTCTGGTCGACAGCGAGCTTCACTTTGAGAGCGCCCAATCGCCGATCCGAGGCTTTCTTAGACCGCTTAAATACATCTGAACCTGGACCGTTGGTCCAAATCTGCACTGGCTTAGGGGGG